AGGGGAGCGGGCCTGCCGGGGCGCGGGGAGCGGGGAGAGGCTCACCGTTGAGGCCGTTGGGGATGCTCCGGTGGTGAAGAGGCGCGGACAGGTCATCCATGGACCTCCGCATGGCCCCGGCCTTGCTGTCGCCGGCCTTGTGGTGATGGAGGTGGTGGTGATGGTGGTCGGGGCTGCCCGCGCTGCCCGTGCTGGAGGTGCTGCTCCCGTCCCCCACGTCCCTGGTGGCCGAGCCGCCGTTGAGGTTGGTCAGGCTGGCCTGGCTGTCGATGGAGCTCCGTGAGCCGGCCCCGCTCCGCTCCTCGTCCAGCATGAGCACCATCTCCTTCAGCTCCACGTTCTCCCGCAGGAGGGTCTCCTGCCTCGCCTCCAGGTCCTTCAGCTTCTGCTGGTACATGCCCACCTCCTTCCACATCACGCTGGCCGTGTGCCTCCCGAAGCGCTGCCATTCCCTCGACAGCTTCTTGCCTTTCTGCCGGTCGTCGTCCAAGAAGCAGCAGAGCTCCCTCAGCTCCTGGTTGTCGTCCTGCAACTTCTGGTTCACCTCCTTCAGCCCGCGGATCTCGTGCAGGTGGAGCTGCAGCCGCCGGTTCACGTCCTTCATCAAGTTGCCGTGTTCCACCATTAAGTTCATCTTCTCGTTCTCCACTTTCCTCAGTCTTTTCACCAGCTCCTCCTTGCTCCACCTCAGCATCTCCTCTTCCGAAATTTTGCTCAGGTCTTCTTTAGACCCTTCCAGGGAATTTTTTGCCATCATCTGTGCCTAGGCAGCGTTTGTTCACACACGGTAACAAATGGTCCGGGTTATTCGGATTATTTTGTTCGCCTGATTTCCTGGGACTAAAATTCACTGCAGCATCTCGGGGAAGAAATATTATAGTTCTCCGCAGAGCGCTGGACAAGGAAGAAGAGCAACGCCGGACTGGAAGATCAGCTCCCCCACAGACCCCATAATAATAATAAAAAAAACAACCCGGGGTGGGGGGGGAGGGAAAAAAAAGGCGCCCCGCCAAGGGGGCCGGGGGCGGCAGGGAGCCAAGCGCTGCCCCCTCCGAGCGAAGCCCCCGCAGGGGATCGGCCAACTTCCCCCGGGCACAACAACTACGCGGCGGCGGCGCCCCCCGCTCCCGGGCGCTCCGTCCACTTGTCCTCCCGGCCCCCCGCC